GCCGATCAAACTTCCAGCAGCCAATCAGAAGCCTTCCGGGGCAAAAGTCCCATGTGACTTCACCCACTTTGTAAAAACACTTGGTGGGTGCCCGGAAAGGTGTTGGCAGGTGCCGTAGTGCCCACTGTTACCACATTGGGGACCCTCGCTCTGAAAGGTCAGGGACTCGCTCCCCTCTGGCTTCTGGATACCCCGTCAAATGCCATTTCTTTCAGCTCTGGAAAAGTCCCCCGCTTTGTATGACATAAAAACACAGTATATCAGTGGTTTAGCGATATTTATCTCTTAAAAAAAAAAGCAATGCATTTAATGAGATAATGTAAATACTGCAAAACTTCAACCGAAAAGGAAAGAGCTTGGAGATCTGGTGCGTAAGAAAGCACTTGTGGGCGCAAAGGGCTCAGAGCTCAGAATCTTTATTTCGTTTAGTGCTAGCCCGGTAGAGGGACTTCCTCCAGACTCTCTAATGTACACCCTATCCAGAAACAAGGGAGTGCAGCCGCAGAGAAGCCCCTGCCTCGGTTTCCCCCAACTCGTGCTGAAAGCACGCAAAGCGGGAAATCTGCCTGTTCAGACGTGACGCGACAGCCCCAAATGGGGCTCGCCAACATCTGAACTCTCATTCGGGCGCTACAGCCAATGGAAAGTTTTCGCAGGATACCGAATATTCGTACGTTACATTTTTCAGTGTACACTTTCAATGTGCTCCTAAGGACTGCAATGTGCGAAGGGGCCCTACAGACACAGCACGTTCTGTTATCTTTAAGAGTGAGATTACTCAAAACCTCCTTTTAGTGTCGCCAGCTCTGAGTTGGGAAATTGCTGGAGCTTTGGGGGAAGAACCTAGAGAAGGGTGGGGTAAGGGAGACCTCAGGAGGGTAGAATGACTCAGAGTCTACCCTCCAAAGCAGCCATTTTCTCCAGGGGGGACTGACCTCTGTAGCCTGGGGATCAGCTGTGATTCCAGGAGATCTCCAGGCCTGACCTGGAGGTTGGCGACCCTACCTACTCTGGATATTGCAACAACGGGACATGGGGCCCAGCTCTCAGTAGGGCCGAATCTGAATATCCCGCTTTGCTCCACGGAAAATTGGCACGTGATCCTCGACAAACTTATCTGACACTTGAACCTCTGCCTATCACCGGGCAAATGACTAGTTTGCAAAAAGGCACCATATCCCCAGAGAGAGATAGGAAACCAAGTCACTCTGGCCTTGGAAAAAATGCGCACAAGCCTTTCGGGCTACCAGTTCCATAGGGCGTATCTACACTCCGAGCCGAAATCCGTTTTTAAACTGCCATCACTTTCCCCCCAACAATCCAGGGAATTATAGTTCAGACAACCTTGAGAGTTCTTTATTAGAGATCCCCGGTCCCGCTTTGGAGAACTACAATTCCCAGGGTTCCCTTGGGGAAAGGGTAGTGGGTCAAACCGAACGGCAGTCCAAAATGTACATATGCCCTCAAGCTCTTTCCACGGTGAAGACGAGGCCCAAAGGAAAAGCCCTACCCAGTGATACAGGCGCTGTAGTAGACGGCACTGCTGGCGTCGGACAAGGCCGATATCAAGCTGCTTTCCTCGCAGGAGAGACTTCGAGGAGTCACTTTGGACAAGGAGACGTGGTAAGGGAGGCCCGAAGCCTCGGGACGAGTCCTGCTCATATTCAAATACTGGTCAAACTCGTTGCGGTCAACTTCTGTCCAAAGCTCGTTGGGGTTCAAGTGCTCGACGCCGTCCAGGTGGTGAGAGTCAGGCGGTGGGGAAAGCTGGCCCAAATGGGCCGAGAGGCCACCGGCAGCTCCGGCACACATCTGGTTGTAGTACAGGCCAGGTGGGTGGGGAGTCCTCATGGCATCGGCCAGGTGTGACGGGGGATTCGGGGAGTAGCCCATTGGCAGATTCCGCCCCAGGTTTTTTTCTGGGGAAAACTCCACCTGGGGGGGCGGAGGAGGGGGATGGTGGTGGTATCCCCGGAAGGACATCACGCCGCAGTCGTCTTGCATGTGCGGAGGGAAAAAGGCCGGCTCGCTCTGCTCCAAGACATCCAAGGGGGACATCTCCGGGGTCGGCAGGCCATAGTTCTCCATATCCGAGCCCACCGACCGGAGTTCGCGGAAGTGGTTGAGAGGGGGAGGCTGGGAGTGGCCCAGGTGGGCGATGCTGCCGGCCACGTTGCGGGGGCTCAGCCCGAAGCCGTCGCCGCAAGACTGGGAGAGGTTGTGCAGAAGGATGTTGGGCTCCATCCTCTTGATCTTCTTGGCCTGCTTCTTTCTCCTCGGGCGGTACTTGTAGTTGGGATGGTCCTGGAGGTGCTGGATCCGCAGCCTCTCCGCCTCTTCCACGAAGGGGCGCTTGTCGCTGGCGCCGAGGGCCTTCCACGACTGGCCTGGAGAGTCCAGAAGACAAAAAGAGGCATGAAGTGAGGGGCCAAGGACTGAGATGCCCAGAAGACCTGGGCTAGAGGGTCTACATCAGGAGCTAGCAAGACTGAGCGTGGAACTGTTGTCATGCCCCATTTTTTAAAATAACTCGCACTTGTATGAGTTCCCTGACAGATAGTCTTTTTAAAAAAATCATGTAGGGTGCGGTTAGACGGCGTGCTGAGAGCGGGTTAAACTGCTCCAGTTCTAACTGGATCATATTTGATCTGGATAATTGCGATCACACTTACCTCCCTTATCTCCCCTCACTGCGCAGTCACGTTACTCCCCATCGTCTACACTACCGATGTGCGGGAGTGCATGTCGGCGGGCTTTTTTATTTTTCCTCCCTTTGCACATGCACAGTTTGTAAGCCACTCTGAGACTCCAAGTGAAGGGCGGGGTATAAATCCAATCTCATCTTCTTCTTCAGATAACCCAATAACAATTATAATTGTCATCAAGAGAAAAAGAAGAGGAGGAGGAGGAGGAGGAGGAGGAGGAGGAGGAGGAGATTGGATTTCTACCCTGCCCTTCACTACCCAAGGGAGACTCAGAGCGGCTTACAAACCCCTTTCCCTTCCCCTCCTCACAACAGACACCCTGTGAGCAATGCTCCCTCTAAGCTGTGGAGTCTTGTTTGCAAAAATTCTACTTCGTGAGCTACTGGCATTAAAGCTGTGAGTGAGCGATTTGGCTGCTGCATAAATCAGTCTGCTCTGGAGCCCTCCTTCCCGAGCTAAGGCCAAAATGTGTGAGCCGGAGGCTAAAAAAACCGCGAGCTAGCTCACACTAACTCAGCTTAGAGGGAACACTGCCTGTGAGGCAGGTGGGGCTGAGAGAGCTCCTGACAGAAACGGCTCTTTTTCAAGAACAGCTCTTATCAGAGCCACGGCTTGCCCAAGGTCATCCACCAGGTGCAAGTGGAGGAGTGGGGAATCAAACCCGGTTCTCCCAGATTAGAGTCCGCGCACTTCACCACGACACCGAACTGGCAATCGTCCTATGGCTTACGGTGACCCCGTAGGGTTTTCAAGGCAAGAGATGAGCAGAGGTGGTTTGCCATTGCCTGCCTCTGCATAGCGACCCTGGTCTTCCTTGGGGGTCCCTCATCCAAGAATTAGCCAAAGACAACCCTGCTTTGCTTCTGAGATCTGAAAGGATTGGCCTAGCCAGCGGCTGTTTCACCCGCCGCTCTCTCACAGGACTGCGACTTATTCCGCTAAGTGGTGTTGAGGCTACACTGTTATTTTAGAATTTTAAGGGAACTGCTGCTAGTTCAGATATTTTTTATGGCTATCCTGACATTTATATTTGTTAGTTTAAGCATTTACATGTTGCACTGTGATGGTTAATGTTGTTCAGATGGTTCGGGGATTTACGGAGAGCCATGTGGTACAGTGGGCGGAGCGTCTGAAGGTACTCAGAGACTGACGTTCAAATCCCCATTCTGCCATGAAGCTCACTGGGTCAAATTGTGCCCGCTAGTCTCTTTCGGCCTAACTTACCTCCCAGGGCTGTTGTGAAATAAAATGGGGGGGAAAGAACCAGGTCCCCCTAACTCTTTGGAGGAAGGCTGGGATGGAATTGTGATTTGAGAATGTGGGACAGAAGAAGAAGAAGAAGAAGAAGAAGAAGAAGAAGAAGAAGAAGAAGAAGAAGAAGAGGAAGAGGAAGAGGAAGAGGAAGAGGAAGAGGAAGAGGAGGAGATTGGATTTATACCCCGCACTTTACTACCCAAAGGTGTCTCAGAGCGGCTGACAAACTCCTTTCCCTTCCCCTCCCCACAACAGACACCCTGTGAGGGAGGTGGGGCTGAGAGAGCTCTCGACAGAAACGGCTCTTTTTTCAAGAACAGCTCTTATCAGAACTACGGCTTGCCCAAGGTCATTCAGCAGGTGCAAGTGGAGGAGTGGGGAATCAAACCCGGTTCTCCCAGATCAGAGTCCGTGCGCTTAACCACTACACCATAATAATTAAATAAAAGAATTTTGGGACTAGGTTTTCCTGCTATGCGTCTTCTAACACCCCTCCCCAATGAACTATCAATAAAAATCACAGCAGGTTGTAATAGTAATGCATGGTCTAGAAAAGGAGAAGAAATCAAATGCTTTGGAAGGAAGATGAAGAAGCAGTAAAGAAATGACAGTTCTCCTCCTCCATAAACCTCTTGGGTTAAAGAGACCTGTCCTTAAGAGAGAACAGGTTCAGGTGGGTAGCTGTGTTGGTCCGCAGCAACCGAACAAAGTTTGAGCCCAGTGGCACCTTTAAGACCAATGAAGTTGAATTCTGGGCGCATGCACATGAAAGCTTATATTCAGAATTAAACTGTTGGTCTTAAAGGTGCCAAGGAGCTGCGGTGGCTCAAGTGGTTAAGACGCTGAACTGCAGGCTGTGGAAGGTCAGTAGTTCAGCAGTTCGAGACCCGAGTGTGCTGCATGACGGAGTGAGCTCCCGTCTCTAGTTCCAGCTCCTGCCAACCCAGCAGTTCGAAAGCAAGAAATTGCAAGTAGATAAACAGGTACCACTTCGGTGGGAAGGTAACAGCGTTCCGTGCGCCTTGGTGTTTAGTCATGCCGGCCACATGACCACGGAAACGTCTTTGGACAGTGCTGGCTCTTCGGCTTGGAAACGGAGATGAGCACCGCAACCCTAGAGTCGGACTCGACTGGCTTTCGAGCAAGGGAACCTTTACCTTTACCTTAAAGGGGCCACTGGAATCAAACTCTGTTCTATCATTTTTTTTTTCAGGCTTGGAAGTATGGATTTTTAAAAGGTTAAAGTAGTTCACATACGTAATAATTTCTGAGTTGTATGTCGTCTGTGTGCATAGTCTGTTATAAGAGCAGGAGAACCGGAGGATTATAAACCCAACGAAAAATATCTGTTCACATATATAATGACTACCGCAAGAATATTAATGGCCAAATACTGGAAACAAGACAGAGTCCCAACAAGACGGGAAACACTAGCTAAGTTTATGGAAGTAGCAGAAATGGACAAGCCAACCTTAATTCTCCAAGGGAAAGATGAAAGTGTATTTATTAAAAGATGGGAAAGATTATGTAACTGGATTTATAATAGATAGGAAATTCTGTCTCAAATGTATGAAAGAATGTGAACGTGCCAATGTTTAAAAAGATGCGATGACTGGAAAGGCGAAGATATGTCAATGTGGATTACGAAGGAAAAGCATAAATAAAGAAGTTTAAAAAAAGAGCAGGAGAACAGAGTTCGAGTCCAGTGCCCACCTTTAAGACCAACAAAGTTTAATTCTGGGCATTTGCTTTCATGTGCATGCACACTGCTTCAGATACATTGAAACAGACTTCCACAACCTTTACATATAGGTAGAGGGGGGGTTAATTGCCAGGAAGGGCTTGTTAGAGTCAAGATGTATAAACAGGGCAATAAGTATAGCTGAGATTGGATTAAAGCAGTTGGTAAAACTAGTGGTAAGACAGCATTTCGCGCGCCTTGGTGTTTAGTCATGTTGGCCACATGACCACAGGAACAGAAACGGATCTTTTTCAAGAACAGCTGTGCCAGAACTATGGCTTGCCCAAGGGTCATCCAGCGGCTGCAAGTGGAGGAGTGGGGAATCAAACCCGGTTCCCCCAGATTAGAGTCATAAATGGCATAAGTCACTGGGCGATTATATGTATGCTAATTTGCTGCTCTGCACGGGTGTTACCGACTGCTTTACTCCAGTCTTCGCTATACTTATCACCTAGCTACTTATGCATCTTGGCTTTACCTAACCCTTCCTGGCAACTAACCCCACCGCCACATATATGTAATGGTTGTGGAGGTCTGTTTCAATGTATTTGAAGAAGTGTGCGCATGCACACAATAGCTTATACCTAGAATTGGGGTCATTTCCTGCGGGAGCGCACAGGAGCGGAGCTCCGGCAGTAAGGAGCCCAGGGGGTGGGCACATGCAACAAGCCCCATCCCCTGCTCCCAGCAGCCCTCAGTCAGAGCAAGAAGCAGCCAGGTAAGTTTCAGAGCTCCTCCCCCGCCTGCCTTCAGGTACAAGCTCTCCCTCCTCTGTGAGGGCAGATCTGCGCGTTCCCCCTCCAAAAAATAACTAGCAATCCAAAACAGTCCAGTGGAGCCTGAGCGGTGGGTGTTGCCTTCTGACACACTTCAGCTACTTATGCATCTTGGCTTTAACTAGCCCATCCTGGCAACTAACCCCACCGCCACATATATGTAATGGTTGTGGAGGTCTGTTTCACTGTATCTGAAGAAGTGTGCGCGTGCACCGGAAAGCTTATACCTAGAACAAAACTTCAAGGTGCCGCTGGATTTGAACTTTGTTCTGTCCTTAAGAGGTCCGCTTCAAGCATCTGGAGCCCTTTCTCAGAGCTGCTATGTCCTTGCCCCGCTCTGGTCAGTGGACCCTCTTGCATATATTCTCTTGCAATGTCCTTATGGGTACGAGCCTAAGCTAAAATGGACTACGTCATGTTTTGATAAAGGGGCCATGTTTTCTCTAGCGACACTAGAGCAAAAGGTTCAATTCCTCTTAGAGGATTCAGATTCTAAACAGGAGGAGGAGGAGATTGGATTTATACCCCACCCTTCACTACCCAAAGGAGTCTCGGAGCGGCTTACAATCTCCTTTCCCCTCCCCTCAAACAGACACCCTGTGAGGTAGGTGGGGCTGAGAGAGCTCTTTTGAGGACTGCTCTTGAGGGAACAGCTCTGAGAGAACTTGTGACTGATCCAAGGTCATTCTAGCAGCTGCACGTGGAGGAGTGGGGAGTCAAACCCGGTTCTCCCAGATTAGAGTCGGCGCTCCTAACCACTACGCCAAACGGACTCTCAAAGGACGGCTGGTGAATTTGATCACTTAATCAAAGACAACAGGGGAAAGGGCGATGGGACTGCTGACAGATCTCAAATGGCCTGGGGGTCGAGGTTGGGGCAACACAGCAAGAATGAATATCAGACTCTAAAG